TATGTATATGTATATATATATATATATATATATATATATATTACATATATCATATATAAAATATACAAAAATGCAGATAAAATATTGAAAATGAGGCCTAGAATGAGGGAACAATATTAAGCTGTATAAATATACAGGATTTTGATAACATTAACGGCATGATCACTATATGCTGCATTAATTCTATTTTTATTAATTTGTTTATTTATGCGATTGTTATCGGCCTATTTAAATTAAAGCGCATTTTACGACCCACAGATCTTTTTTAAATAACTATAGGCCTATAAATAATATTATACTTTATTAAATTAATATGATTTTTAAAGAGTACTTAGATTTACATTGTTCAATGTAGGTTGCAAAAACAAGTGTCTACGACCAAAAGTGTAAGGTATTTCATTACACAACAACAAATCTTAGCTCTATTAGGCCCATGTTGTTACTGTTGCTTACATTTTTACTCAGATATTCCGGTTTAATGCCATTGTTTTATGCCAAGTTTTAAGATTTGCCATGTTGAATAGTCCACAAAATTAATGAAAAGGACTCTCTACAAACCGATTTCCGAGCAGCCTCCTGCCTGTAGGCCTAAACAACAACACATGGAGGCCGTAATTGAATCTAACACAATGTAGGCAAGGCTTGTACAACTACAGTATGGCATAGTACATGCTTTACTTACCTATTATGTTCATTCCTAACTTAGAAGAAATACCATTTCAATATTCAATATTTAGAAGATGTCTTTTTGCGACTACCTGTCAACGATGCATTAGTTCACGCTTGCTTTCACCTTAATTTGGATGTTATCAGACAGGTGCACAACCAACCAGGTATCTGAAGGAAAATTGCTGTCAATTACTTGGTGCCCTACCATGCTAAACCTACAAATTATTAAAGCACAACTGTACAACAAAATTATACTATTTAAAAATTAAAAATCATAAAAACGTACATATAAAGAAACAAAATCTAGTAGTTATTTAAGTTTGATGTTGCCTGTCATACGCAGAAGATTAGTTCAGCACCCACTCTCGAATTGTTCTAGCCACTGGGGACGAACCCTCACCACCAGCCCCACTCAGAAAGTAATGAAGTGACATCGCCATAGATTTCCCGATGAAGATCCAAATTTCTCGACAATCCATGCCAGGAAAGTGCACCATGCGACTGTAGACGTAGTGTTCGTTACGATTTTTTTCCTGAGGATCCTGTTTCTCGAGACCACCCATCCACCCCCACCCCTTCTGCTAGTGGTGCCGACACCGATGTTTTTCCATTCGATAAACATGTGTCCTTAAGGGCATGTTCTTCTAACTGATTTGAGTCAAGAAGACATCGGATTATAAACAGAACAAACAATAGAACATTCACTCATGAATACTGGGATGTGTCCGCCGGATGGGAGTTTTTACCATTGTTTATAAGTCACTTTTTAATATATATATTAATTTTATAAATAAATAAATTATAAATACCGGGGATGACGGGGGGGGGGAGTAGTTTTCCTTGTGTTATATTATATTTACTGTATTTAATATATTGTTTACAGATTACTACTACATTTTAGACGACGCTTACAATGATAATATATCAATCTAAATGTTATGTTTACAAATGACTATATAATAATACTGAATATTGAATCAACAGCTCTACCTCCCATCCGAACGAAGATATACCATTCGGCGAAGCACCAACCCATGAATATATTGTGGCAAAAACTAATATAAAATAACAGACCTAGATGCCTGGAAATAGCATCTGGCGACCTATAGAGCTACTGCCTCTCCTCCATGATTTAAAGTTAGTAGGCGATACCATACCCATGCTCTGCATGGATGGGGCTGAGGTGGGCAAATTTTGCTACGATTAGGCCCTAAGGATTGCCAAAAAAAAGTCTATTTATACCACGAGCTTGAAATGCATAGGCTATAGTGCATACAAAACACGCACATGGTGAATATCTATTTGAATATAACATTCGAATGATATTAAATTATTAATAAATTATTAATAGATTTATATAATTTACAGGCAAAAGTATATATTTTTTTAGGGTAATAAAAATATGAGAAAAAGTGACGGTCCGGATAATAATCACCTTGAGAATTGTTTTTGAAAAGAGCGTTACAGTACGGTAGTCAATCCTGAAAAGAATAATAGTGCAGACAACATTATGGCAGGTGTCAAAATCAATGTACTTTCGCACACCATCCATGACTTTTTTGTGCATTATTGGAAGCTAATATTGTAAAACAAGAATACCTATCTGGATGTAAAATCTGTTGTCTTCGTTGATAAGAAAATACAATATTATAGAAACACGTGAAGTGATGTCATAACAAATCATTAAACACTAAATCATGATTACAAATAAACATGAGCCGTTTTCGTCAAATAACTATTAAAATAAATATAACGGGTAGCACCTTTACTTGTTTTGACTAACAAATTATTAGAAAATAGTGTTTTAAGGCACTATAAATCTATTTGAGACACGAGCTCAAGGAATTTCTTTAGACGAACACGAGCTTTCGCTTAATTATAGCTTCCTCAGGTGAATGAAGCTCAAAAATCAACTCAAGAACCCTTTATTCTCTTTCACAGTCAGGCTCTGCCCATTATTGCATCAAGTCAACAAATAAACTTAAATTAAATAAACCCGAAGAACCTACGGTACCAGTGGCGTAGCTACTGGCAGTGCAGCCAGTGCAAAGCACGGGGGCCCAGGGCTATTAGGGGCCCATTCATAATTAGAATAGAAATAATAATCAACAATATTCGGTTTTTAGAAGAGTAATTAGTAATTATTGATTACTGTGTTGATTTCAATTTGGTGTATTCAAGGGGATCCAGTTGGTCGGACCCCCTATTTTTTCAAAAATAAAAAAAAATGGGAAAATGAAATTATATTCATTATATTATAAGTCTGAGAGTGCCATCCGGAGGGGCTATTTCGAATTCCCTGATCCGCCACTGCAATTGTTTAATTTTACGTACCATCAATTTTCGTGATTAGTTTAGAACAGATGGATGCTCAGACCGAATATGCCCCTCTTAAAATCGTTACGAATCCGATTATCATAAGTACCGGTATTCATTACTAACCTCCTGTATGAGTAGGGGGTAAAAGACACAATTCTTACAATGAATTTTCTGAGAACTTTAAGGAATTCCCTATCACATCCAAGGGCCCGACAATTATATTTTGCACTGGGGCGGGCCCTTTCAAACCTAGCTACGCCGCTGGAACCTACCTTAAGCAGCGAAAGCTCATGTCTTAAAATAAATGTGTTAGTCAAACCATTAACCTAACCAAGGTGTTACAGGATTAATGTTTACGTCATGGTTGTTGTTGTTGTGCAAGTAAAATAACATGTCTTTAAATTTTGGATCATCAAACAAAAGAAATAAAAGACCCCAAAACACTAACATTAATTTCTTTTTCAAAATGCATACTTAATTTAGTATAAATCGCTCTGTCATTTCTTTCTAACAAAATTCGATTAGGCAAAAAATTAATAACATGATATATGCATCTTCATCATAGGTTCTAATGTTTCTTATTCATTATACAATATGATGTTATTGAATTTAGTATTTTTTTTTAATTATTATTATTATTTTATTTAGACACATAACACATGCACCAAGGATTGTCAATAGCATATATTATCACTGTCCTAATTTGTAGGTGACAATCCCTTTCACAAGACAAACATACACACACAATGCTTTACACAAACTAAATCTCAACATAAGGCTTAGGGAGCGGAGTTGTTTTGACCGTGAGAAAATCCTGCAACACTGACAGGAATTGAACCATGACCCTGGGATTGGAAGGCAAGCATCTTAACCACTAAGCTATTCAACTCCACTCCAAAATACATAAATGAAGAGAAATGTATAAATGAAGAGATGCCTAAAGCTATATCAAATTTAAGATGGGTGTATGTTTGTTTGATAATTAAAATAAATAAATAAATAAATAATAATACAAAATCGATATACAGTAATGGTAAACAAAATGTCTTTATCAGTTGAAGTTTAAACTTACTTATAGTAAGTAGCTCAAGAATAATCTTAAGGATGCTTTTTAAATTGTCGAAACGTAAGTATAATTTATTTGTGCTTTTTTGATTTAAAAAAAAAATTATTAGGCCTATTTAACGACGGTTATTAATTCAATTGGTTTGTTTTTATTATTTGCAAATATCTTCAAAACAAATCAAATCAAATATACTTTTATTTTCCATACAAAAAAGTAGTACAATATACAATAAGAATACAAAAGAATTGAAACGAATACATTGTATTGAAGGAGGCCACAGTAAGTTCAACAAGAGCCTTAAGACGTAGCCACCTTAAGAAAAAATTTTAAAAAATCTTACTTTGGCTTTACACTTTGGACCTATTTGGGAAGAGATTTCGACAGAACGTCAGTTTGAGTGATGTTCTTTTTCTCATTAGGCAAATGGCAAAATGAAGAAAAAAGTCTTACTTGACCTGACAAAAATGTTACGTCGCTTTAGCTTCTTTAACTTTAAATAATTAAAAAGTGCACAGTACATGAATAATCCAGGTATAACAGTCAATTATTCAAAAAGATTTCTGCTCTCTAAATGGATACCATAAAAAAATTGATTTGAAATTGTGTGGCCAAAGCTTGATAAGCTATAATATAGGATCACAGTAATAGGAGATGAATTAAAAATTTAAAAAAGCACTTCGTAGGATGAATTTTCCGAAAACAATCTGTCGCCGTTTGCGGTCCTCTTTCCCGGGCCCACAGTCATAGGCCTGACATCTGAGTGTCACTCTTCAAATCAAAAGGTCCCGTAATCTCCTAGCTACGCCGTTGTCGATCAGTGAAGTCGTTGTTAATACATGACTAATTTAAATTTACAACTAGCGACATGTATATTTTACGCCAAAAAAAAAAAAAAAAAAAAAAAAAAAAAACGTTAAATGCAAAATTTTAACTTGGTATTTCTGAAATTTGTTAATGAATATTCCATATAAGAAACAGCACATCCTTTTTCGGTGACAGTAATTTGCTCTACCTTTTTTGATAATTCTTTACACTGATTTGGGATTTTCTTGTAATTTATATTTTTTTCTTGCAATTTGTTCTGTATATGTTTTACTTCTTCTGTAGGACCTAATGTATTTTTGTATTTTCTGATTGCCAAAATGAATAAAATAAAAAAACAAAATTAGATATTTCTAACAAGGAACTGTAATAAGTTTCTTTAAGCCTAAACATCAAAGCGTGGAAATTGACTAGCGTTGTGTGACGTCACCACTTGAATGGCATATTCTTTACAAGCGATAAAATATGTACGTAAATACATGCATGCTTCTTTACCGTTGCAAGGTACATACACACGCCTGACTTCCAACTCGTTAGTAGGTAGTAGTAAGTTTTAAATCTCTTTATCTCTCGTTTTGAACATAGAATCCAAGCAACATATACCTATTATTGAAACATACTTTCCAACCACCACCAACTTAACAGTATTGGTGTTGAAAATGTAATCCCATATTTATCCAATGTGCGATAACAACATAATATTAATCATCATCAGCATCATCGTCATAACTTATATCCTACCGTCATCGCTATTGTTGTTGTCTTCTTTAAACCGATTCAGCATTAACTGTTGATTTTCTTAAGAATTGTTTTGCAAATATCTTACTTCGGTTTTACATTGCAAGCCTATTATATGGGAAACACACGCTTGGCAGGTGGAAAGTTCGAGTGTCTTCCAACTAAAGGTTATTAGTGCCACTACAAATAGCCTTTTAGTAATTTGAAATTGCAAATTATTAATCAGAAATTTCGAATTACTAATGCAGTATTTTGGATTCTGACGGTAATAGTGGCCCTACGATCGTTGGTATTTTGTAATTTTGATTTATTATCTTTATTTATATCATTTATATAGCGCCTTTTCTTTGTAGACATAAAGCGCTTTTTTCTATTGTCATGCGTCCACACATGCTTAAGTGTTGCTGCTAGTACCGGTGCAGGAGCAGGCAACCACATTGTACCCATTTATACTCCTGGGTGGAGAAAAGCAATTGCATATAAAGTGCCTTATAAAGGACACAATCGAAATTTAAAGCGAGGGAATGCAACCCCGTTCTCGAGGTTGAGAAACCACGTCATTCTCGCTGCGCCACACCGCTTAATATTATTATTAAAATAATAGCATTGAAATATTGCTATTATACAGCCAATAATATTAACTGTTGACGTTGCTGTCGATGAGGCTACTGCTGTTGCCACATGTACGGATACCGCTACGTCGATAGATTAATTCCATGGACCATGTATACGACATAAAAATGAATGGAATTGCGAAGATATACATAAAAACATTATTTGATACCGATAATTCAGAATTATCTTCAGCTATAATGCTCTCCTGATGATCTCGAGAATGAAGGTACTGTTGGGTCCATAATCGATCTTAAATCTTTACAATTCAGCAATCCATCGTTAAGCCTGGGCATAAAAGTTTTGCTATATTAATAAATATCGAAACTGCGATCCAACCGGCTCACCCTTTGACCTAATTAGTCTTGTCTTTATACATCCCCCTGACACTCTTGGATACGGCCTTGAGCGTGGATACGTATTCGCTTGCTCTGTGTAAATAGTTTTAATATGAATTTTAAGACATCTTTTTCCTAGAGGATATTTTTGTAATAACTGTTTTTTTATCTGCAATGGTTGATCCATTTTTAACAATTATCTTAATAAACTTTTATTGTTGCAATCTTATCGCCAACAGGCAAAATTTTATGGAAATTTAAATGATCATGAGGTACCAGTAATTGGTATGTGTCATTAATGATGTTCTTTCATTGCACTTCAGCTTTTATCGTTGTAAAAAATAGGTTGTAATGTTTAGCTCTTGTAAAGCCGCTTTAGAAATGCTTCGGAATAATAATTATAATAAAAGTAGTAAACCGATTTCATGTACTTACACTATATATACATATACATTCATACAATGTGTGTATATATATATATGTATGTATATATAATGTATATATATATATATGTATGTATATATATATATGTATATATATATATATATATATGTATGTATATATATAATATATATGTATCATATATATATGTATATGTTTATAGGCATAGATATAGATATAGTGCATGATAAAGTGTATCTGTTAATTGGTTACACATGTATTTTCACATTACACAACAATGTTACAAAGATTGCATCAACAACTTGTGACGTAATTTTATTAGTTGTAGATTTATTTTAAAGGTCTGATACATCATCAATTTAATTTACACAAGAGATTATAATGAATCGAGGGTCCAAATGGCCAGATAATATTTGGAAAATCGAACATTTTAAAAAGCATGTCTATGCAAAATAGAATAGTAACTCCCTTATTCTAAAGCTCTTTCAAAAACTGTTGTATGCCCATATATAGTCATGATGACTGGCCATGATATGATGTCATCATGACAATATATAGGCATGCCACATGTTTTCGATAGTCTGAACTCTGATTTAATGTTATTGATCATGTTTGGCATAATATGGTATTCTATTAGCATATATGAAAAAGAAAATATGAAGCAATGTATTATTTTTATTAAAGTTGAAATTTCAGTAAAAACTTAAAACCCTACACAAGTTCTTAATCATTGGTAACAACTGTAATTATTAAAACAAATTGGGATTGATAGAATATTTAAAGGACACACTAACATATTGTTTTTGAAATTTAAAATTAGAATTCTTGATAATAACATTTAAAAATAATAACATTGTTATACAAATTTATGATTACGGTATTCGAAACAATATTATCTATAATATATGTTTAATATCCATAATATATAATAAATATTGCTATTATCAATGCCAACAACATATAATAATATTTAATATATTTCTGAGATAATATCAACATAATTATACTTTTGATTTTGTTTACAGTACCACAGCAATCTGTCTTATGTTTTCATGATGAAGATGATGATTATGAAAATATTAATATGCAGTATAATGACGATGATGATGACAGTAGTAAAAAATATCAATAATGCTATATTCAGCAGGAAGATGAAAGCAACACAATTACCAACACCTTTTATCTTTTTTTTTTTTAAACTAATGGAAATTCAATCTTTGAATCAAATCCTTCAAGTGGTCCAAAATTAACAAGTTTCTGTCAAAAGTATTTACTATTATTCTGTAATTAAACTAAGATTCACAAAAGTTCAAAATTAAAAAAAAAAATGTAGTAGTATTAATACTTACTTCATAAGTCATTAGTCTTGTTTAAAGTCAATCACATAATGTTCAATTATTATTAATAATTATATATTATTACATATTTTAACACCATGTTTGGGGCTTCTATAGTCTGCACTTGTAAAATTTTAATATTTTGTCAATTGCAAAGTACTGTACTATTAAAAGGTTTATATTACCAGCACTGTGTTTTTGTTTCTTCTATTTTTGTTTCATATATTTTTTTTAGCAAGTAAAACATCCCGAGATGTTTCAACATTTATTTAAATTGCTATGTCTATTAGTATCAAGATGCAGTCTTAAGCACTCGGCTCTTTCCGTTTCTATTTACTAAATGAAAATTAAATTTATTATCGAAAACCGTTTAGAATTGATGAATGTCTTAATTAATTTTGTATAGAATTAAATCTTTGATTTAATTTTTTTTCAATATTTAAAAAAAAATAGCATTTGTAGTATTATCCAATTAGTATTTAATATTTATGTATTACTGTATGTTTCCATTTAGTGGAAGTTACAACAATAAACAACAACAACAATAACAACAACAACAACAATAATAAATGTGGGCTGACAAGAAATAACCTTATAAATATTTGAAACTAAAAAACAAAACCTTTCCTTTTGTGCGAATAATACTTAAACTCTAATCAGCCTCAATCATTGACATAAAATATACAGTATACATTTAAATTTTTTTGTTTAAATGCAGTAAAATTGATAAACGGCTAACAAGTGTGTAAACAGTGGCATACCTAAGCAAGGGGGAAGGAAATGGAACACCCACAAGATATGTGTGCCCACCCCATTCTGCACTGAAAACAAACACCATTGGCATGCCTAGTTTACCTAATAATCACCTCACTCTTCAAGCTAGTGTTCGATTTATATAAAAATGGTTTTACCATTAGGAAACATATCATTACAGATGCTAGTCAATTCCCACAAACCCTTTAATCCAACAGTTCAGACAATAAACATTTGAAATATAAATATACACATATTAGACAGACATATAAATAAATGTTAAAGTTTTATCATATTTATAATTACTCTCATTTAAATTGTATTTACATAACTATCCTTATTCCTAAATCTATTTAAAAAGCATATCACAGATTTTCTAACTATAAATATATTTTCTAGATTTGTTTTTATAGATTTTTGTACTATAATTTAAAAATGATAATGATTGTAATTAAACCATCAGCAAATTCTAAAAACTTTCTACACAAAAGTTAACTAATTGTTGAGTCGTTCAGTTGATTGATTAAGGCAAGGGTGTCATAACCTGCAGCCACAGTATCAGGGCTGGTTCAAGTGGCAAGCTCTACGGTTGTTTTGGTGGTGGAACAAATCTTCTCATTTAAGGGCTATAAACCGTAGTCCCAGTGTTCACAATAAGCTTGTGTGCACTTTAAAGAAACCAGTACATCATTTGAAATGATTATGGGAACATGGTTTGCTTGTCCCTACAGACCTTTGGTGGACAGATAAAAGTAGCTGGTACCGGTTTTCCGGGTAGCTAAGACTCGAAGAAACCATTTATGGGTGCATGAAGCTACTGAAAGAGATATGTCCAAGCATTGAGTGCCATAAGCGTCAGGTTGTTAGGCGGATACCGGCATATTATCATAATTATTATTATTGACCAGAAGGCTAGCTAGGTCAATAAAAATCTTAATGTGTTTTACTCAATGTAAATTTCTACTACTGCATGTGGTTTACATCTGGATCTGAATATAGATAAAAGAAGTTTGTTTTTAATGAACCAATTACACCAAATAGTGTTCTCAAAACATTTAATCCTGGCATGATTGCTTATTTCCTATCTTACTATTATTCTACAGATTTACATTTTTAAAACAGCATTGCATTTTTCTTTAACTCTATTTGCTTCCACTTTGGTAGGTCGCTGAACTGGTTGAAGCCCATTTTAAACGCCCGGTAGAAATCACGTGTTGAAAGATGGAGCTAAAAAGATAAAAACAAATTAAAAATTACAAGAAAGAATCAACAACAGAATGTCTATATTCACCTGATATTGATGACAAGACCTAAAAGGGCATTACAGTTAAACTTGCCTAAGTAGACTTCGCCTAACTCGAATAATTTCTAAGTCGAAATTATTTTACATGCCAAATTGTTGTGTTTTCCATTAATTAACAATCTGTAAGTCAAATTTTATTTAAGTCGATTTTTATTTAAGTCGAACAATTTTTCAATGGCATTTTGGATTTGACCTAGGCAAGTTCAACTGTATATTAATAATTAATGAACACTAAATGTTACAACTTGATTGTCAATAAAAATGAGTAATATTTTAAAGTATTATTACATAACAGTATCTCATTCTTATTAACATAATCATTATCATGATGACCATAATCATCATCATCATCATCATCATAAAGTCATGCCATATTTTGTCTTCTTCGCTGCCTATCATGAAACACTAATCTATTAAAAGTTATTTAACACCCTAAACTTTCAAGTTAAGTACTAGGAAACATACCTCTAAGTGATTTCTATCAACATCTTTTGGGAGTCTGTAATTTCTTATAAGTAATGACTCAAGTGGATAAACCTAAAAAAAAAAAAGAAAAACAAAACCATTTTAGGCATTTGGTAGAAAAAAAATGAAATGCATTAGCATGTTCTTATTATAAATTAATAAGTGGCAGAAAATCAAAGAAAATCTGCTCCTATCCTTCTAATACATCACATAAAAAATCAAAATATTATTGAGGCGATAACATTTTAAATTCATTTGAAAGGAAAAAAGGGCTGAGTGAAAACTATTGTTTGGCTTTTTAGTATTAAGTCTGCCTCCACATAATGTAGCATACAACAAATAGTGATATGATAGTGATAAGTATGAAAATTATGAAGTCACTTTGACATCAGCAGGTTCAACAAGTTTGACAGTGAGGTTGAAAACAAGGGATTGCCTTGATCTATGATGGGGATGATGATCTTATGTTTTAGGATGTTAAAAAAATTTACTTTTAAAAACCACAGTATTTAGATTGGCAATCACAATAACAAATTAAATATTTTTAGACCAACTACTTTATTTGGGGAGGAAAAAGAGGGTTACAGTTTTATCGTGGACCCCCACTGACCCCACCACTGCTTGTTTAACCCAGAGGAAAGTTGGATAATAATGCTATGAATACTGGCTGTAATAAAATGGAATATTCCCACAGAGCTATGTTCCACAAATATTTGTCTTAATGACCAGAATAATGATGTAAATTGTCTGTGAACCTTTAGCAATATGGTGAGCAGCAATATAATTATGGGGGTGAATGATTACAGTATGACAATATTGAAGGATGACAATAACAATGATGATATTTCTACAAGGTTAACTGTATGATGATGAAAATAATTTTATAATAATGATGATGATGACATTTAGTTAAATCAAGGTTTAATTGCATTTGGTTTGGTTTCACAACCTAGAGGTCGGGGTTTCAATCCCTCGGTGTGCATTTCAGTAATTGTATCATTGGGCAAGGCACTTTATCTGCATTGCTTCTCTCCACCAAGGAGTATAAATAGGTACCTGGTAGGGTTAAATGCCAAAATGCGCTGATGTAGCTGCTGCAACGTTATGGAATACTCCCCTAGGGAACTTGAGCTTGTGTTCCATAGGCATTTATTCCAATGACCAGGGTAATGATAATGTAAAGCGCATACAGGACTGAAAAATATGTGCTATATAAGTCTAACATTATTATTATTATTATTATTATTATTATTATTATTATTATTTAATAAAATAAATAACGGGTAGGAAACAATGCAGAGACAACAATGATGTAAATAAAAAAAAAATTAAACAACCAATTAATCTTTGAAAAGAGCAGTGTTTGAAACTAGATTATAGTAAATACAATTATATAATTTCAAAACTAATTAAAATATATTTTTATATTCTGCAATACTAATACTATTTCCAAATGTGTGGGCGCATGACAGCAGGTGGTGATGTAGTCTGCCATTTTATGAAGCATGATAACAATAGAAAATGAGTATATAAATATGATTGACAGCTAATCAATTAAATTTGAGAATCATGCTAACCTGAAAATCAGTTTCAAAATCAATCTACAATATTGTAAAAAAAAAAACCACAACAATTATGGCAATTATTCTATTGAAAAATTTGTATAAATAATAGCCATTCATGTAAAACAACAAAAAAGCATAGGTGATGGGAAGGGGAAGAAATAGAGATAGGAAGCTTGTTGGAAGCAGTAGGAACTAATGAGAGAGTAGTTGACTAGGAGGGTTGGTGGTGGGGTGGAATACATACATTTTCGCATGCTTCTCTTGTATTCCAGTAGCACTTTGCTTATCACGTCAATACATTACCATTTTTTTTGGTCTGTATGTTGACAAAGATGTAGAATTTAATGGCTGAACAATATTTACTGTATGATTATAAAATAAACTGTGTAGTTTATTCATAATCAATTTTGGTAGGCATGTATGGTGAATGTATGATGTAGTATACATTAATAGCATCAGTAATAATACATAGGGTATACCCATTTAATCCAGTCTCACACATTGCGATCTTGCTTATGATAAGCTGCGCTACAGATTTTACGACTACAACGTGTGAGACCAGTTTTACACTCCCAACATAAATGTCCTACTAGTGGACAAAGTACAGCTACAAAAGACACTACTATCAACTCAATTATAGTTTATAAAAAAAATGAACAAATTCACAAACCTTTCCAGTGGCTACATTAGGCATGGACCTTCCTTGAGCAATGCGCAACAGACGCAACCGATGTTCCTCACTTGACAATGGATGGATGCTTGGTCCAAATCCATCTATTGATCCGTTAGGAGGAGACGGACTACCCGAAAGAACAGGTGTACTGCTTCCGTAAGATGTTGGTGATGAAAAATCTAAATACACTGCAAGATGAAATAAATTTTTATAGGCAAATATGAAAAAATAATAAGCATGCATACATATTTCATCTGACTTCAATTTACATCAAAGATGGCACTGAGTTATGAACTTTAAATTTTGTTTCAGTTATTTTGGTACTGTTTTATGTCAGTAATCCTAATAAATTTTAAACATTTAAAGGTCATTTAATTAAAAGTATGGCACAAATTATCAGAAAGTACCCTTGGGTTCAAAGGTATATATATGACTGCCAACCATTATATGTAAGATGTGTATGTTATCCATATCTCTCGGGAGAGTACAAGATTTTGGGGACAGGTATCCATTCTATAAATATTAATATTGGATGAAAAATTTTAATTTGCGAGTATAATCCATAGCCAATTTCAATGATAAAAATATATACCAGTGACAGATCCAGAAATTTTAAAGAGGGGCCCCAGGGATGGACTTTCACAGATGTACGATCTAGACCACCTCAGCCCATCACCATGGTTGGGACTGAGATGAGGAAATTTATGATTATGGCACCCCTAAATGACTTACAATTTGAATATAATTTACCTTTTTTCTTCATTTTTATTTAATTTTGGCAATTTATGGGGGCACAGGCTGACTGGGCACCCTTGAATAAGCCACTGTATACAGTAGATAACAATAACATTTAAAAATAAAACTGTTGTTTTCTAATGATGATCATACAATAATAGGATACTTACAGTTGGTGATAATGTTGAATTCCGCATGTTTGAGGGCAGTGTAGCACTTTTGTTGCTTGGCGAATTTGCTATATTTGAAGAAAAAGTTTTTTTTAATTATTTATCAGAGTTTTAAATAATTTTCAATTCTCACTCCTTTTTAATATATATATATAAGTTTATGTTTTACTTGACAAGTAATCTTTAACTATCAAATAATCTTCATTTGGTGAGTATATACAATTATGATTAGTAAAATGTATTTTTTTTATTAACAAAATAGGAAACATGGTTTAAATATTTTAAAGCTAAGTTCTGGAGCAAACTTTTTCTTTTTTTTATGTTATACAATTCATTTTTCTAGGACACAAAAAAGGTGTTTGTCTAAAAACTTGGTAACGGTTAATGAGACACATATTTTTAAGCATTTAAAAAGTAGGGCATAACCACTTCTTTCATCAAACACCCTTTTTGTGTCTTAGAAAAAGCAGTTCTACAATAATCAAAGGATTTTTTTCCCCCTCAGGAGTCTGACTTTAATAACTAGAACAGAATTGAACACATCATTTGAAAATAAATTCCTAAAAGAAAAAAAAATGAAAAAAATAAAATTAAACAGCTATCTTCTACAGTGATGTAAGAAATGGAACATTCATGCAGATAGTATTTGTTGATTTTCTGATTTGATGCTGAAATTAAAATATACAAGTGACTACAAACACCATGCATTTATCAAAATATATATTTTAATATTTTAAACACTCAAAATTAACATTATAATGTTCTAAACTTTAAAAATGAAATGAATATTTCTTGCCATTGTAGTTGTAATAATGATGTAGGATTGTTACCAATAAGCTCATTGCTACCTGACCAACTACCACCTCAGCTCATTTCCCCACTGTCCCCTGGACTTATTACTACCCAAACCCTTGGAACTCCTGCCTCAGAGGTCTTTCAAAATCATTTTAACTTGGCTTAATAGCATGGTCAGAGGAGAGTGCCCCCAAGCACTGACCATATCACCGCCTTTATTGCTGAAACATCTGTATTACTATCCTTTAATTTATACCCGTACTCAATCAATACATCTTTTACAGTTCTATACCATAATAAAATATATATAGTTATAATTAAAATAAATATAATATTTTCTTGTACAAATGTCATACTGCATGTAATTATAGCTATTCTCAAAATTGTTTTAGATGGCACAGACATCTAGATGAAAATGCATTTTACCTGGACAGACAAGCCTTAATGGTTTGTTTATACAGGAAAAAGCATTCTATCTTTGTACAACTTACCATCAGATAAATAATCCTAAATTTGGCTCACAGGACTTAGTAGATTCAATTTAGTTTATCAATGAAGTGGCAAAACATTATTATATTATTTTTTGTTTATTAGTTTTTTTCAACAATGATACAAATGAGAAAAATGTATTAGAGTCATACAATTTTAGCGGCTTTTATAATTTATATTTTCAAAATATTAAAAAAAAAAATTAATATTTCATTATCTTTTAGACATTGCTTTAAAGCGAAGTGGCAAAATTTGTTATTTACTGTAGTTTCTGTAATTGATATAGATTTTAATTTTCTAATTTGAATTATTTCACTTTTTTTGCATACTGGTCCAAAGGAAAAATGCAAATTGTAAAAAAAAAAAGTAAAAAAAAAAAAGTAAATAAATAAATATCAAACATATAAAATGAATTTAAAACCCTATGTGTGCGGCCCGCCAAGCAACACTGGCTTGAAAACACTTTGTATTTTATAGCCCGACACCGATCGTATGTAAAAAGTAACATTAAAACTGAGAATAAAAAAAAGGTCACTGGAAACATCGAAAATTCACTTTGGCCCTTGGACCAATTTTGATGCCCACCCCTGATATAGAGTATCAGGTAGGTCAAAGTGCATACAGAAGAATGACATCAATGGACCCTTCCACTATGCCCTGTCCGTTGCAAGTGGCAGCTAAGGTCCCACAAAATGAGAGCATAAAAATAATTATGTGTTTGTTGGACCACACATATGTTTGAGATTAGTGACCTGTTCTGATTGTCAGTTAATTTTCTGGAAAGGTCTATTAGGAAATACAAATAGCCATGCTTTGATCACATTGACTGCGCAAATGGTCTGACGATTAGATTGCGATTCAGTTGTGTTTCCCAACTTTACTATTTTAACAGTGAACACAGCAGGGGCAGATAGGATTTGAAAGAGGGGGGGGGGTTCAAAATGTTTCCAAAAAACCCAAAATGAAAGGGGGATCTGGATGGCTGGAAATGAGCTTTACCAACTTCTGATGAATCTTTAATGACCTTTAAGTTCTCCAAAATTCAAGGTTTTCTCCCCCTTTAAAAGGTTAGGTAATTTTATCTCATTCTTTAGGCATACATAGGTCGATGAACCGATAGGCCTGAAGAACGCACTTCAGTACATAATATTTCAACGTCGAACCAAAAACGTGTGTATAATTTATTTAATTGAAGACTAGTTGGGCTAAGCCTATTTTGTCTGATCTGCCAACCTATGCCTAGGTAGGTAAGCATGCTTTTGTAAACCAGAACCAGGCCCGTAGCCAGGTCATTTCAAGGGGGGGGTTCTCTGGGCGTGGGGTCCAGGACACTGAATAAAGGCCCTGGTGGGGTCGGGGGCGAAGCCCCCGAAGCCAGAGCAGTTTTTTGTGTTTAATGGGTCTATATAATGTTATAAAAGCAGTTATGTTTTTAAAAAAGATCTATGTAATAAAAGGTGGTATATAATAAAATTTGAAAATATTTTCTGAGAATTGGTATGTTTTAATCACACCGAAAGACAAAAAAAAAAAACCTCATCGCATAATCAATATCAATACACTCAACACATTTATTATTATAAAACAAAACAAGCTATTATATAGGCCTATAAAGTAATTTACAAAGATTTACTACAACTGACAGGGCCATCGTTAAATTAAGTCAGAGCTCAAAATATAGCATCATATTGAAAACGTCATCTGCCATCATGGGAACCTAAACTTTAATTACAATTATTTGTTTACTAGGCCTAATTCGAGATTTGATGCACATTTCAGAATTAATAATCGTTTTTAGTATCTTACTGAATATTTATTGTCTACCAAATGAAATATGAATTATATATGAATCTTTAGAAATACAATTTCTACAATATTAATCTTGTTTTTATATAGATAAATGTTCGAAAAATACTATCTTTCATAAAATAAACGAAATTCAGCGCGTCTATTTTCATTCCAATCAATGGCGTTTGTAAACATGTGTACTGACGCCATCGTCGAATCCCTGGACTTTCGACGGCAAAGCTGGCCTGCCTGGTCACAGGCCAACCAATAATAATAAACAAAATGTATTATTTTTTTTAAATATAGGCCTATGGTGCATCCTGTACATGCACTTCAACTTTTACAACAAAAGCCTAGGCCTAGTAGTACGTCCTACTGTACTTAAGCCTATGCCTACACTAGTTTGATGTCGTCGGGGTATAATTCTGTCTCTAAATGCAGCGTGACCACTAGGGAAAATCAAAATTCAAGATTGGGTCTAAAAAATCCCAAGATTGCTTTTAAAAACCCAAGATTTGCAAAATATTAGTACTGTATAAAAACTTCATTTAAAAGTCCTTCATTTTAAAGCTTTTTCAATGAATCATATTCTGTACAGTATTTTGTACTGTATAAGCCTTAACGAAGTGTCTGATTTTCGAGACCAGAAACTCGTTTGCTTTGGGCCATACTATTAGAAAATTTGAAAAACTATTACTCTGTGCGTCCGCGGAAAATCCTTTTTGGTGATTAAAACGTGATATCCTTTCCTCTGGCATTGTATGTTAGACCAAGCGTTTGAAGTTTGTGCGCAATTTCACCCATTCGATGTTAACAAAGTCAGTACTTCACACAGTACATTAGGCTTACCGGGCCTTATTATATAAAAGGGCATAATCGATCTTTACAGAGTGTCTAATTGATCTGTCAATTTTATACCAGAGGGGCCTACAGTATTGCATAGGAGTATTTAACAATAAGAAAAATTGGGAAAACAGTTTCCTTTGAAATTTACTTAAGCGAGCGTGTATGAAACCGGGTCTATGGCAACTATAATTTGATACTACGTCTAGAAGTGTAGAGATACGGACCCTATTACTAAAAACTGTTGAATTCTAAATGATTACAAGATGACCAAGCATATGAATGCATCAGTCTAAAATGATATTCAAAGATATTACACTGTACAGCTAACCGCTAATGTTTGTTTTGCATGTCTATTACACACCGTCACTCACAAATGTATGTAAAAATTGGTCGTAAAATTTGATAAGTTGATTGTAAATATTTATTTAAATCCGTACACCGATTTTGTTTCAAGTTGTTTGTTTTCAATATTATAGCTGTTTCTTTACGATGACAATGTTTTGAAATCGTACTGTATAACACTCCAAAATTTGTTTTATTAGCAAACAACAGAAGGCTCTAAATTTTTACAAGTTGACCAAGCGTGTTGCTGCATCATTATTTTTCAGTTACGATCACTATTCAGGCAGAGAGCAGCTGTTTCGTTACCGGTTGGTACATTTCTTACAAGGCTAAGCCTATTTTGTCTGATCTGCCAACCTATGCCTAGGTAGGTAAACATGCTTTTGTAAACCAGAACCGAGTAGTATTTTGTTACGTTTCTTCACAGAGGGGGGTTTGTCCAAACTCCTGGATCCGCCACTGCACTGTAATATGACCGAGACAGAGGCAAGGATAACAATTATGTTTTGTGTTTATCATAATTATGGTGTAATTTTACAATATTAAGATCAAATGTTTTTTTATTTAGTTTATAATGAAAATGCAAGTATGTTCTAGGTGGGGTCCTGGGGTGGTAGAAGCATTTTTAGTCAGACAGGACTTAGGTGAACTAGTGAAGGGATGCCCCTCCCCCCCAATGGTTGCCAGGTTCTCAAAAATATTTATCCAAATTTGGCAAAAAATAGTGTATAGTACATTTGATGATAGATTTACCAATCATTTCTTGGATGATAGCTACTTCATCATATGGGAATTACAATTGTGCAGTAATTCTAAATATATCTGCACTGCGCTAACATTGACCAATCAAATTCTAATTCGCTGATTCTTGATTTATGGCTTAACATGTCTACTATAAAATGTCACAATTATTGATGAATGATTTTTCTGATTTTTCTTCTGATCCTGTTTGACTTTTAATTCTGAAATTGAACATGTGTTAATGAATGAGCACAGTAGCATCAGTAGCCTTAGACTGTTGTGCAATCAATTCACTATGTCAGATTTATGCAAATAGCTAAGTTGCACAAAGTCAAGTATAAAACAAAAAGAGAAAAAAAATATATGAGAGAAAAAAGTATTAAAAAATTAAAAGAAAACATGGTTTCATATTAACAACTTTATGTTCATATCATTTTTGGTTAAATACAAAACTGTTAAATTTGTCACCATTTCTAAGGTGCATGCGACTATTGCTCCAAAAAAATACTATAGGCACTCAAAATGGATAGAGTGAATCTCAATTATAACAAACCAGTCTTTAGAAAAATATATATATTATCATGTAATGTTTTATAAAATGACAAAGTAGTCAAGCAAAAGCAAAAAAACAAAAAAAAACAAAAACAAAAACAAAAACAAAAACAAAAAACAAATTGCAAAAATGTCTGTTGTAATTCAATGGACAATATAAACTGGATTCAATGGCAACAGTTTGTCATGCTATTCCTCACCTGAGGAGGACCATCGATTTCTAAGAGCACCTGTAAATGAAAGTAGTGAATATAAAAAGCATCAGAAAATGCGTGTACCATAAGCAATCAAAAACATTACTATTTAAAATTTTATTTAAATATTTTCATAATAATGTGAATAGAATACAGTAGAAGCATTAGCAACACCTTCCATGTATTAAAGACAATCATAATAATTATTATTGTGATAGTTTAGAGGTCAGATTCCACTTTTAAGCACCTCATGACAACAAGGCTTTAAGTGCTTCATATTATTACCCCCGGCCATTAGATCAAACACATATTAAACTCCCAGGTGACAATTCCATAATGCTGCAGCTGGTAATCAGCGAATTCGGTGTTTGAACCTACCAGGTACCCACTTTTACTCCTGGGTGGAGAGAGACAACCACTGGTGAAGTGCCTTCTGATAAGCTGGAATGTTAACATGTTGATTCAAGTACAGTCTTATTTAAAAATTTGCAACATAGATTGTAATTATAAACATGTTTTCAAAAGCCAAATATATTTAGTTTTATTTAAGCACTATCAAGGTTCAATGAAATATATGTAGGCATCAAAATATGTTTTAGTTTATCACTGAAATTAACAGTATATACAGTAAAATACTTACTTGATTGTGATGATGATGAATACCTCAATGGTCGCATTGGCTCTGATTTTCCAGAGGGAGTACGTGCGACTAAACGAGGGTCAATAACTTCATCCTTCTCCTTCTCAAACTCTTCTCTTAGGATCATTCTACCAAGCGGTGAAGTAACCCTTTGTAGGCCATCTTCAAATTCTTCTTCCTCTTTTTTAACAAGAAAGCCTTCAGATCTGCTGCGCAAACGATCAAAGAGGACTAGTGGAACAGGAAAGTCCTCACGTTCAATCTTGGCAGGCACCCCCTCTGGCGGTTTCTCTGAGGCAGGGTATCGTGATTGATTGATGATGTCATGGGACATGTCTTTGTCCAGATGAGGGGGCTGTTTTGTCATCAATATTTCAGACATTTTTGCTGGTTTGGGTTTATTTCCTAAAAGAAAATGGCATCAAACTATATAAAAACAGACAATTTGTATTAGAATTCTATTATTATTAGTTACAGTTGATAAGCAATAATATAAATAAAAATTTAATTATTAATATTATACTGTTTGGGTTAAAATCTGGAAAACTCAAAAATATTAAATTCAACATCTTAAATTTTTAATAGATTACTATTACCATTAGTTACAGCTGAAAAAAAAATTAAAATTTAATTATTAATATTATATTGTTTGGGTTAAAATCTGGAAAAACTCACAAATATTCAATTAAAACATTATAAATTAATCCTTAAAGGGATTAAAGAAGTGTTAATCTTGTTCAGAAAAAAATATTCACAATACATGAAACTATCATTGTTTTTGGTGACATCATTTATTGTGCAGTCACAATACTGATAAAAAAACTTACTTCGGGCAAGCCATGAATCGTCCGTTTTAGGAGGCGTGATGAAGGGTTGTGGTTTTGACGCTGAACAAAATAAAAACACAACAAATTATTATTTATACAGTATTATTATTTTATTATTATTATTATTATTATTTATTCACAATATTTAGCCAGGATGGCCCAATCAGTCAAAATGGCTTGTTTTCATTGGGGAATAAAGTTAAAATTTAAATTAAAATACAAAGACTAAAACATCAGTGTAAATATATACACATAATATACAGTAAATATACAACTACAAGAATCAAAGGGCTATACTGGTAGTATTAATGCATGAAGATACTTTTAAGATACATTAAAATTTGATGAAGACTTGAAACATTACAATAATGATAGATAATGAAGTATTTGGTATGATTTTGATAATTATTGGATAATAATTTAAACTTATTTTGTTGATTGTTGGAAATAATATAATAGGATTAAAGTAAAAAATAAAAGTAAGAATGACCAATAAATTATCTTTACATTTCAATCATTATTCATAGTAACAGCAACAATAACAGAGACATCCCCATTTCTAGAACACTAAACCGTTAAAACAAAGTAAGCTTCAAAGATTGTCAATGAGATTTTCAATCTGAGAAGAACCTGGCCACCAAGCCCCTCTAGGGCCTTAGTCATTTCCTTTAAGCACAACATTGAAACCATATCTTTTGCCAGATTGAGTAAGTAAAGATATACTGAAACTAAAAATTATTTTAGAAACCTAAAAAAAAATTAATTAAGAGTCGCATACATTTCAGTAACAGATCAAGAAAATTTGTTTTTAATGATTTTACAGGCAATTATGTTTTCCAGAAATTTAATTGTACATAGGAATGGCTATATCATGAGTATATTTTCTCGCACGATCAAAAATCGTAATGATACTGGGTTTGGTCTACAGGAGTTCATGCTTCGAACAGGCCATTCCATTCTTAAAAGCCTTTTGACGGAGAATGTGTACCTTTTAGCATGGTTTGCCTTGGTCTCCAGATATATAATTAATTTCGTAAGTCTTTGTAAGTCTTCACTAATTATTGGAATCATAGATAATTTTTTTTAAATATATTGTAAAGCACATTCCAGTCTTATTATTTTTGTAGAAAAATCTTGAGTGAAATCTGTGATTTTTTTCCTTACAAATTGATAACATATAGGATATCTTTTTAAATTTTAGCAGTTCAGTTTTTGAAATAAATTTTTCAGTTTGCAAGGCAGACGGTATATCTTAAGTATAGCATCAAAAAAATATAAAATGTTTAGATAAAAAATTTATAAATTCAAGCAAACAAAATGTAAATAACGAAACCAGAATTACAAAATATATTTACAAAATACGTCAATAATTAAAAATAATGCAAAAATAATCTATTTACCAAGCCTGGTGAACTCTGCATACATTGTGAAACGCCAAAGCACCCAGTGATAATTAAACATTTAGTAAAAAGAAAGACATAAAAAAACACAGGTTGACTAACGTGCACAACAATAACTATGAAATGATAACTAAACATGCTGTGAACATCATAATAAATGCCACTAGAATAAATGCCAGAATTGGGATTTTCATTAAATCTCATGCATTAACAGACACTTGACTGTCCAAACTAAAGGATTGATTCTAATGCTATTCTAAGACTAAAAGCAACTTATTCTTATGGAAAGGTAGTACTATTAATTATAAATCAGTTGAAATGATGAAAAATGTAGAATCGGAAATGGAGTACTTAAAATAAAAGGTTTCGTAACACCAAACTTGTCAAAGTCCTGTGCAATTATCAAATGACAATAAGTATAACATGCAATTTTTGACAATAAATTTCTAATTGCATGTACAGTCACAACTGAAAAATGATTTTGAAAAACAATTAATTGACATTTTGATGCCGGTGAATATAATTTTGGAACATACTGTATACATTCTGGAATTCTTTTGCTACTTAGATTTTTAACAGGAATAATTTTTAATAAGCTTAAAGTTTCAGATCCAGGAGGCATATAAACCATTTGAAAATGGTCAAACATAATAACTGTAGTGTATGTGTAATACAGGGATGGGCACTGAAATTGGTCAGAGGGCCAAAGTAAATGTTTCAATATAATGACGGCTGCATGCAAAATCAGATTATTTGATGCTTCAAAATGTTTTCTACCAATGTCCTAAATTACATTGTATTACATCATACAGTAACAGAAGGAGGATTTCTAGCCAAGAATGATAGGAGGGTAAAAATAGGGTTCTTAAATCAATTTCATGGTCCGCCATTGGGCTGCACTTTGCCCACCTGACGCTTAATAAAAATAAAAATTCAAATTCCTTCAGGTAGAATGAAAATATAGATAAGCAGGGCATTGTAGGTATACTAATACCGTAGGCTGAAGTTGTTCTAAGAGTCTAAATATCGGGAAAACTGTAACATGCTGGAGCTTTTTGCACACCATATAGAGTGTCACAACCTTATCTATTTTGCCCAAGTTAAAATTTAATATGAATCTAAAGATGATTCTAATGCACCATATATATCAATAACAAACCTGGTCTGTGAAAATTTGGAGTAACCGGTGCCTCTGGTGTTTTTGGAGCTCTCGGGTACAGATAGGACCCGTTGGCAGTTTCACGGGACAAGTAGCTATTTGTGTAGTTTATAGTCTGCGGGTTTAAGCTGTTGGAAGAACGTGATGACGTTCTTGATTTTGGCAGGTTGGAGCTGTTCAGGGAGAAAGCCTATAAGTTCAGAAATAATATATATTACAATTAAAAATAATAATAAGTATAAAAATACTCAAGTTTCAAGTACTAAATGTTAGCTTTTTATGTCTTAGATTACTTCGTATTATAAATATTATGCCCTCTGTTGTCTAATACACTTTGATATGGTTAAAGTAAATATAATTGCGAAATTACATGACTTTTAACATATATATTATTTTCTGCATATTAGCAGAGAGCAATACATCTAATTGTTATCTTTTTTGTTGATGGGTTTAGTTGCTTCTTTATTTTTTGTCTCTTCTTCATCTTAATTGGTTTTTTTTATTCAAATTTAATTGGTATATTGGGCTAGTGTACAACCATTGCCATTACCATATTAAATCATAAAATCATAAACAGTTTTGAGGTTGGAAATCATTGAGTAAATGTTTTTTCACAGCACTTAAAATTTAATTTTTAAGATGTTTTCCCATATTTCATTGCAGACAGAATGTCTAAAAAATGATGATGTAACATGATGTAACAACTGCTAATGGCCTATGAAATACATTTCTATAGCAGGTTTCATCAAAACTAATTTAAAAAAAAATATACAGATCTTACAAAAGGGTTGTTCTGATTGTAATCGTAAAGTACAGCGTTCTCCTTCTTACTTGCTTCTGAAAACTAGAAAAAAAAGTTTAATTCTAGTGAAGTACATGGCACAATTATTGAGAGAAGAAACTCATCAGTTATAAGTGGTGTTTTGATAATATCTTGCCTGTAGCAATAACTGAGTATGTCTTCAATTTGCTCATGCATTGCATTTTGAAATGATTTGGTAGTTAAAATGATCATATTTTCATTGGTCCTTGCTCTACTTTACTGCTTGTTATTTTTTACCCTTTTACTTTAAAGAGAAAGACCAAATATTAAGGAAAGATTTGAGGTCGAGAATATGTGATACCTGTATATTAAAAATGAAATATAGTAGAACAAATGATGATAATGAGGGCTGTAATGATGAAAGTGATGATGGTAATGATGATGGGCGTGATGAGGTTGATGGTGAAGAAAATGATGTTGATGTTATTGATGATGATGATAATGATGAATGATAGTTATGATGATGATGATATAATAAGGATAATGCAGATATGGTGACGCTGATGATAAAGATAAGTTAAGGATGATGATGATGATAACAATGATGAGGGTGATGACAAATGTGTGAAGAATATGATGATGATGATGATGATGATGATGACAATGATGCTGATGATAGTGATAATGAAGACCATGACGATGATGATGATGACAATGATGACGATGAAAATTATGATGATAAAGACGGTACGTTACATTTAATTTAAATCTAAAATCAGGATTAGACTTACTCAATTAGAAAAACAAAACCCTGAAAATTTTTAAATCAGATTTTTTTATTACAGTATTTAGTTTAATTTATTTCTCCTTTTCATTCAACAGAATGAGACCATCTAGTTAATTATGCTATATAAATTGGTAGTCTCAATATAAGATATTAGTGACTGTAACAGTTCTGTAAAAGCCAAAAAAATCAATGATTTTTGGAAGCTTTTTATATTTCCATGGTTTTCTCGAACAGTATGGAGGCTATATTGAGTTGCATTTAATTATTACAGGCATATATTGGCTATGAACTGTAAAATGAAAATAAGACATTTTCACATGTCCTTGACTTACTTTCTTACCGAAATATAGCAATCAATATCTGTTAAGTGAATGCTATTTATAAATAATCATATGAATTAAACTGGGCCAGATCTATGCTCCTTTGTTAAAATTTAGGTATGTACTTTGTCACTGATTGCTGATAGCATTTTTATAGGGGCAAGAACATTTAAAATACATTAAAATACAAGTTCTTAAAACACAATCAAATATTTATTCGTCAAAAATCGGTTTGTATAACGTCAACTGCTGTGTGTTAGCGCGTACTGCAGCAATAATCCGCTATATAGGCCTACTAATCATATCACTATAGCAACTGATGACTGCTGAAACAGTTGATTATAAAACTAACATTAATACGGCGATTGACTATTAAAAGCAATTAGTATAGTGCTTATCTATACACTAGCTGAAATTATTATATTGTACTTAGGTTAGATTATTGCACTAAAAAAAACTTTCAGGCCATGCATAAATCCAAACTTCATATTATAATTTCCAATAGTGTATGATATGCAATTCTACTAATTACTTTTAGCACATTAATTATTTTTATAGATCATCTTCTGTACTATACATTAGGATGTAAAAGGGAGAGAAACAATTTTTCTTACAATCATTTATTCCAAACCTCTATCAAAAATGCTATCCAATTCAGGTGTAACTTTTTTTGATTGGTAGTTATTTCAAAGAGCTCAGTAATATTCATGAGTTCAATCGTTTCCTTGAACTACAGTACCTAGGCTATGGTCCACATACTTAAATTAAATGTGGGTTCAACTCTCATTATTTAAGAAAAAGGGAGCAACTTTTCAAAAAAAAAAAAAACCCCTACAGATGAAAATATTAGTTATTTAGTCAGTTTCTACATTTGACTTTTGTAAAATTAAAACTATACAGATGAAAATATTTGTTACTATTTATTTAATTTATACAATGCTTTTTTTCAATGCTATTACTTAAACCCCACCCCGATCTCACATATATTTTGTCCTTACTTTGTCAATGTATCCATTTGCTTTGCTGCAGTTTGGGTGCCAAATTTCAGTTCCTTAAAAATAACAAATATGTAATACATGAAACATATTAAAAAAATATTTAACAAAAGATATTACTAGGCTGCACTATTTTAAATAGGGATTAATAGAGGTATGGTAACTATAAATAACAACTGTGCAACAATAATTCACAGCAGTTTAATGCCATCACATATTGATTGAAATAACTACCAGTATATTCTCACTTTGATTGTATAAATACCTGGCTAGCTGCAATACGAATTAGTTATTGTGATATGTTGATGATGCGGATGAATTATAGTGATGAGGATAAATATGAGGATGATGATGAAGATAACATCAGCAAGCTTACCTTGCACAAACATATCTTCACCTTCTGTAAAATAATATCCACAACGTCCGCACTTGGCGCAAGTTGGATGGTACTGCTTTTGTCCGGCCTATAAAACAAGAAAAATGATTGGTTGTCAAATGCGGAATTAATTTCTTATAAAAACATGTAAATGTACAGAAAAAAAAATAAAAATAGGAACACCATAGTCACATTTACTGGGTGGAATTTGAAATGCATTTTTTAAAGTCTGCATTAATTTAATCTTGCATTTACATTCAACAGAAATAATGGTAAACAATTATATGATGTATTCTGCCACAATTGAACCCAGAATATAAGAAGTTAAGCACACAAATCAAAATCTCTCATAATATCACTCAGTTACCAATCGAATGGTCCTGCTAATTTGTGATCCTTTTATGAGCACGCATTTTAGAAAATCTATTAGCGATCATCAATTTATCATGCATTCATTAAAAAAACATGTAGATTTATTTTATAATTTGAAAAAAAATACTAAGGAAAATACACAAAATGGTTGAGTTTTAAACATGACCCTCGATTTTAATAGTAATACATGATAGATATCAATCTCTTTCGATAGTTTAAATGTTTTTAAAGTAATAAAAAAAATATATATATATAAAATAAAGAAAAAGAATGCTTTAACATGCATTATTCATTCATTCATTCACTGGCAAGTCGAGTGGCTAAGCGGTTAAGGTAAGGGCACCGCAACCTACAGCATTGGCGTTCGAGCAGCACACTCGTCTGGTTCTGGAGGTGGAACAAGTCTTCTCGGATAGGGACCATAAACCGTAGGCCCAGTGTACACAACTGGCCCATGTATATGTATGGTCTATTATTAAACCACTTAGTGCGTATCTTGGGTAAAGAGAGAAGGTTGGTATTAGGCAATGTTCTACACACTACACTGTTCTCATCATAAGCACGTCTATCGTAATTCAAATTTGTCATGTTTAATTTGTATAATGATTTTATAGAGACTGTTTTAAAACCAGGTGTATCTATATGGACAGAAGATTTATAGCGTATAGACGTACATAAAATAATCATGAACTTCCAATGTGTTGCTCTACTTCAGATATTATATAATCTGCAAATACAAAGACTAGAATTGGAAATTATAATTACAATAGGAAAAAGAAGAACTATGACTTATAATTATGACTTGTGCCAACAAACAAATTGTTGACTTGATAGTTTGCTCAATTAGGTCATGGCTCCATGGGGACTCTTATAATCTCACTAAAATCTGACAGAATATGGTGCAGCTTTGTATTGTTGTTCTTGAGAGATGTGTTGGTTGAAATGTTTTGAATTAATGTTTGGTATTCGTTCATGCGTACAGAAGTTTCATATCAATGAAAATTGAGAATGATAATAAAAATTAACAGTAAAAAGTCTGTAAATTAATGAAAATTGAATAAATATCTCTTTGCATTGTTGTTCTTATGAGATGTGTTGGTAGAAATATGTTTTGTTAAATAATGTTTATTATTCCTTCATGTGTACAGAAATTTCATATCAATGAAACTTGATAATGATAATAAAAATTAACAGTAAAAGTCTGTAAATCAATGAAAATAAATATTATTTGAAAATGATAAATCAATTTATTCTTTTTAAATACTTTTGTTGAATTTTTTAGGGTTTGCCAGATTTTACCGAACTGTATACCATGTGTTTATAACCAACATTGATGGCGTATTGTAAAAAATGAATATGCGATTGGCACTGGTTCAATCTACTGGTACTAATCATCTCTCTCATGAGTTTAACAATTGGACACGTGTACGTAATTTATAATTCACTTGCAGCAAATAATCTGTGAACAGGATCAATATTTCTGGTCCATATGATACTTGTAGTCAACTCTAGGCTATACAGTAGCAGCTGAATAATAGCTTTCACAAATCATAACAATACTCCATATTGAACACAAACATGGTTTTTATATTTGGCAATAAAACATCAACATAATATAAGGTGTCAAATTATCATTGCTAATAAATATCATACAACAAAAAGCCCAAGTTATTATTTAAAAATATTAAACTTATTATTAATGATATATTTGTGATTACAATATTTGATTGTAAATGTTGAGAGGAGAGGGATAGTTGGTGTAGTGCGATAATTATAAAGATTTTTGCATTTCAAAATAGTGGTTCTCTTGTAGTTCAGATGTAATCTTAAATTACTGTATATGTTACTACAGCTAATCATATTTAGGAAAGACTAGGTGCACCAATACCCATGTGCATGTTGAAGACTCCTGTACAGTTGCATTATGGAACATGAAATTATGTCCCAGTGTTCAGACCACCTCCAATCAAATCCAATCAGGTCATTTATAAAGCGCATTTCTTTGCAGATACGAAGCACTACTTAAAAAATCACTTTTAAGGCTCGCTGTCCAGATTAAGATCAAATTTTCTTTGAGTACAAAAAAATGTATACCCATCCTGTGAGATTCATGTCACATGTTTAATATTTTTGTGATTACTACTGAAACCGTAGCTGAAACGTAGCAAGTAGTAAGTCTACTAATTTGTATTGGCTTCAAGAGATAACACTAAAATAAAATAAATATTAAATATTCTATGAAACCAGATGAAATTCTTTAAAAATCTGACAGTGTGGGCATGAATTTAGCATAGGCAAAGCAAGGTAAAGGACGAAATCTGAATCTCGGGGCTCACAGGCCGGAGTGCACGTCTCTCTTTTCTTGGAGTTTGGGCCAGAACTGTGCAAGTCTGTGGGGTTTCGTCACTCCTCCCGCACAGCAGTCTGTTTTACCTTCCCAGCATACTCTGGTACCCATTTATACTCCTGGGTAGAGAGAGACAAACGTAGATAAAGTGTCTTGCCTAAGGACACAAGCGATTTGCATAGCGAGGGTTTCAAACCCCAACCTGAAGGTTGAGAGTCCGAACCACTGCCGTTGCGCCAACCACGATTCTTTAGCATAACATGGAATATATTGACGAAATTAAATGAGTTCATAAACTAATCCTCTTCTTTTATGAAATATAAGAGGCAGAGTAGAAAAAAATCCAATATATGGATCTCTGTAGAATAAGTATACATGTACACAACCAATCTATTGTCAACCTGTAAATAAAATATTATTATGATCAATTTTATGATGCAGACAAATATTTTTTATCACTGTACAAGTATATATTCATCGTTTTTTTATGACAAAATTTTGAAATTTAAAGTCAATATGGCTGATTTTAACAAGTAAAGCTCATTGTATATGGTATGTGGACATGCCTAACGCCCTAGGCACATTTGCTATCACATAACATTCAAACTAAACAAAGATGTAATTTCATCATCGTCTGTCATGTTTATATTTGTTTTCGCAACTGCTTCTCAAAAAGTGCTGGCTTGGAGAAAACTAATGCCATTAAAGAGAATATATTTTTTCAGATCACAACCAAAAGCAATAAACACCATGACAAATACTTAAATAAGATATATAATCATATTTTATGATTATTGATTGATTGTTTAAAAAAAAATCACCAACTTAAACTTATTGGATTCACGTGACATGATTGACTTTTTGTTTACCATGTTTGAACTAAATTAGGCCTATATCAACAAATTTATTTTTTATTTATTTTTTTCTTTATTTTCTTCCATGATTCATAATTATATAACATAATATTTTTCCTAAAAGACATAAATGAGTATGAATTTAGAATGAAAAAATAAAAATGGCAAAAAATAGGACTCCGGTTGCAAAACATTACGGGTTTGATGTGCGGGATACATTCAGCATTGGACAACTAGGGTACACACTTTTCTGGAAACAAGCTAAGCCAAGACACTTTTTAAATTTGTATAGATTTGACAGCAAAAATGCAGATTTAATTTGCATAAAAAAAAAATCTGCCAATCTTTGCTTCAATATTGCGGCTCCATCACAACCTGAGAAACTCAAGCGACGTGCATTACCATCGAAAAGTCAATTAATAATATTATTATTCAATAATACACCTAAAATATTTGTGCATATTGAGCTTAGTACTAACCTGTAAAACTTTGCCAGCAATAAACCGCTCACAATTTGCACATTTCACACCAAATTTCTGAAGATAATCTTTCTCGCAATACACTTTGCCATCCCTGATCAAAAAAAAATTGCAAAATGAGTAGCTTTTAGCACCTATCAATAATAAACATAAATAAAAATTTTCATCACAGGCTGCAACAAACTGCAGCATGGACCCATGGTCCCCACTTTACTCACCTGTGAAATGAAACTTCTGTAAATTAATCTTTAAAAATATCTCAGCTTTTTATCACTATAACAATGTCTGCTGAAAATATCTATACACAAATAAATTTCTATTTATCGGCTTTCCTGTTATGCAGTCAAGAACACTTGGAGAAATGTTTCCTTCAGGAATGCGAATAAAGATGATAAATATTGTGAATATCTTTTACAAAATATTGCTATGATCATTGACCTGATGCATATTTTTCAAATATCGATTTTTGGATTTTTTTTTCAGTTTTTTAAACCACCATCGGCATTTTTTGATGTGGTACTTAAATTTGATTAAATGCTCTCACGGGTGTTGTTTAAATGACAAATCAAATTGGATTAGAAAGATGAGGATTGGAATCTGATGTATGCCAAGCTCTCTTGCCTGCTTCAGTCACAAGGCTGGCACTGCTTCAATTTTTAGATGAGATAACACACGTCTAATGAGCGGAGAATTGTGTGTAATGTATAAGCAGGGACAACATAATCAAACAAAGATAAGTCAGTAATTATTCATGTAGAAATTTTAAAGCCATGGCCCTTCAATATCAGTCTAACATGATCATACTTAAGATAAAATTGCATTTCCTATGTAGCTTAAAAATATTTGCATACTGTACACTCTATTGTAATGTTACTGATTGTGCAACAGTGAACACACACATACTCTAAGTCTGTCTCTTCAACTTTGAAAGACTGAGGTGTATGATGCCAAGAGATTACACTTGAATGCTGAGTTATACAGTATAAAGCTTTTCACTTACTTGGCCATGTATTCTGCTGATAATATTTGGCTACAAATTGAGCATTTGAAGCACCAGGCATGCCAGTAACCATCAATGGCCGAGATTGCTTGCTTCAACTTTAATGTCCGTTTGCATCCACTACATTCTACAAAGACACAGGAGAAATACATACATTTACACGAATAGTATATATTTGCACACAAATTTCTATACATTATTTAAATAAAAATGGGAAAAATATTTAATAATAATAGAGATTTGTTTAGCATATTTAATTTAGAAATAAAAAAAATAAACACATTTGATATGACTACTTTTTCAAATTTAATATTTAACATAGGCTATGTTCACACACACGGTGTAAGGCTGGCTTAAGCCTGGCGTAGCATCCGCCTTTGTGTGTGAACTAGACAGTAGCGTTGTTCGCCACTCACTACACCACGTCCTTGGCATTATCAGCACTTCAACACTTCCATTTTGAATGCCAGACGTTAATAGCGAACACTGTTCGTGTGAACACCTTGGAATTTTAATCCGTGGATTAGCTTATGCCTTGCATAAGCCACGCCAGCCTTACACCGTGTGTGTGAACATACCCATAGACACTTAAGCAAGGTGAATAAATCAATAATTACAGCGAGTAATTAATATGTGAAAACTTTATCACCAAGTTATAGCATTGCATGATAACCATCATGTATAGGCCTATTGGTGATAACATCTATTTGAACATATGCATACAAACACACACACATGGTGCATAGGCCTGCATCTTGGCATACAAGTCAATGCTGCAGCACAAAACATTGACAAGGATTCAATTAATTGCGAGAGTTTGCCGAGCATGTCTGCAAGTAATAAAATTGTGCTGTTTTATTGCACATGATGTGGTAAATCAACACGTATTGTGTGAAAAACGAACATGTACACCCTAAAGGTGGCTTATGTGTCTTATATGCTGAGAATTTCATCGACCATCCATGAACGCGTCGCATCATGCTTCTTGAAGTAAACACCTTATTAATATTGTTAGGATTGATAGCAGGGGGTAGGGATGGAGCTTCGTTAAGAGCCAATTTTTTTAGAAGAGCCTTTAGAATGGTAACTAGGCCTATCACACAACTATAGTATTAATGATGTCTGTCTCCCTGGTTCATATTCCATAAGGTCATAGGCCTATAATAGTGTTACATCCACAGAGATCCCAAGTTGAAGTTTATTTTTAGGAAGCATAAACAAAAATATGACCAGTTTTGAACAAAAACAATCAAGGCTCTCAAATGTTGAATATGAATATTGTTAAAAGTCAAGGTTTAGTCTGGTTGTAAACATGAATTGAATTTTACTTTTCTCTCTTTGTACAATATATTTAATTTGATTTTTGTGTTTAAGTCTTTTCATATTCCTTGTATCTTCTTCCAAAAACACCATTACAATTTTTTCCGTTTTAAAATTTTGTTATATTAAATTTAATGAAAAAATATTACAGTAAATAATAATCGGAAAGAGCTTGAAAATTTCTTCTAGGAAACAACCCACATTATAAAGTAATAAATTAACAAACCTAATTCTGAAATATGAATAAATAATAAAATATATTATAGAATAATAAACAAAATATTCTCTATATAATTATTATAATTGAATATATACAGAAACTATGATAGTAGCTGAAATATAATGTATTTGCCATATTTTGAAGATCATCTACATTCATCTGTCTGTATCAGTTTTCAATTGATACAATTTCACAAACTAACACCATTACAATTTTTTCCATTTAAAAAAAAAGTTGTTATATTAAATTTAATGAAAAAATATTACGGTAAATAATAATTTTAAAGCGCTTGAAAATTTCTTCTAGGAAACAACTTTCATTATAAAGTAATAAATTAACAAACCTAATTATGAAATATGAATAAATAATAAAATATGTTATAGAATAATAAACAAAATACTCTCTATATAATTATTATACATTAATTGAATATATACAGAAACTATGATAGTAGCTGAAATATACTGTATTCGCCATATTTTGAAGATCATCTACATTCATCTGTCTGTATCAGTTTTCAATTGATACAATTTCACAAACTAACACCATTACAATTTTTTCCGTTTAAAAAAAAAGTTGTTATATTAAATTTAATGAAAAAATATTACGGTAAATATTAATTGGAAAGCGCTTGAAAATTTCTTCTAGGAAACAACTCTCATTATAAAGTAATAAATTAACAAACCTAATTATGAAATATGAATAAATAATAAAATATGTTATAGAATAATAAACAAAATACTCTCTATATAATTATTATAATTGAATATATACAGAAACTATGATAGTAGCTGAAATATACTGTATTCGCCATATTTTGAAACTCATCTACATTCATTTGTCTGTATCAGTTTTCAATTGATACAATTTCACAAACTAATCAAAGGTTTCCTTCATTAAGTGATTTTAAGTTAATTTAGATCGCTCAAAGCGAACTGAGTCATGATAAATTTACACAAAGACTGCTTTGCATCATCAAAACACCGAGACAATACTCTGTAGTACTAATTGCGGTATTACATGGATGATGCCTCACTCAAACTCCCCTGTGCATTCATTAGATCCAAGTTGATGCGGTGAGGACGTATTTTATCTATTTACAAGAGAGATTTACCGGACATTATGAAACAATTATGTACACTTAATTTGGCTCAGAAGCTGGAATAGAAGCCAGGGCTTTGGCTTGGGGAGGTGAGGAAAGTAGATTAGGTTGAAAGAGACAATAATTGATTACATTAAGGGATTTAAATTGGAAATATCAATCAAACAATTATTCATATTTGAAGCTTGACGTATCATTATTGATTGTTTGCATAGCAGTAGATTACTTTGCAATAATTTCTACATTGTTATAATTCCTGATTTGTCACATACATTCAACATGGATTAAATGCAGCCAGTAACATCCATATCACAGACTATAGAAAAAATGTGGCAACCAATGACCAAAATTTCTTATTGCCATCATTTAGTACAATAATTCTTTAATTTTGCAATTTTAAATGAAGTATATATTTCACAATTGAGTTTAGTTTACAAGTAACTCAAATTTGACAAGGCCTACAAAATGATAGATAACATGTACTGCCCTGCAAACAAGTAAATGAAGTAGTGACCAGTATCAGATAAAATGTCGCTCTGCTCTATCATACTTTCCCATCACAACGCAGAGAAGTTGTTAATTTTACACCTAAATCTTTCACAGATTTTTTTTTGTTATGTATGTATGATTTACCTGACAACCACCAAATCATGGAATCTCTATCTCGATGGTTGTCTGACAAATTATTAGTCAAATTTAATCAAACGCTATATCTGTAGCTCACATTCATCCACAATGACAAAACTATTATCATTCTCTACTTCTCATTATTATTCCCTGAATCTTCTTAAAGCACAAGCCCAAAAAAAAAAATGACAACATACACTAATTCTAGTTAATTTTAAAGAACATTCTCAGCCATCTAGCTTAATAGTTGGGCTGGCATGCACCCAGGTTTAGATGTGAAATATTGTCACTCAAGAAAGAAAATAGAAAAGATTAATTTCAAATACAATACTTACTAGTACTTTCTTCGTTAGCGTTAGCGACCTTCATTGTTTTCTTGATTAATGGCGGTGTGGTTTTATTTGATGATGATGATGAAGATGACAACATTTCTTCTCTAGTGACACAATTGCTGCACAGAACATCCTCACCATTGTATGTGACTTTCTCCCCTGGAGCCATTGGTACGCTGTAAGATTACAATAACCAACTCATATATTAGCACCATTAATTGATATCTATACTCTGTCATCAGGTTACTGCTGACACAGAGCATGTCTCCATTTTCTTATAATTAGTACGAGTGAGTTCATACTTCAAAATGTTTAGTCATCATCTCCATTCTAAGCTGGGCATTCATTGCGTCCAACAGTTGTCGGCCGACGCGATTCTATGAAGAGCGACGATGCAGCACAAAGGATCGTTTGTAATGACAATCCCTTCAGACTGCAGCCAATCGACAGACGGTGTCGCACCATGTCACGTTCACAGGGCGTGGAGTTTGTGCGAAAATCGTATCTTTCTTCTTCCATTTTAGCACAGAACACCTTTTCGGTGTATTTCTGTACTGGAAGATGGCAGGGACTGAGATATGGACCAGTACACCGGGGTAAACCCCTACTCGCCTCAAAAGATGTACTGGGTTCTTGTTCGCCTTTATAGTGCACATTGTGTATGTACACTGGGCTTATGGTTTGTAGTCCTTAAGCTCCACCGCCAGAACCATGGCAAGCGTGCCGTTCGATATTATGGCTGTAGGTTGCTGGCCCCTGCATTAACCCCTCGGCCTTTCGATCGCCATGACTCGTATGACGACTGGAGTGCCCAGCTTTAATCATCAGCATTATCACCGGCATTATTTGCATCATTATCATCACTATCAAAATCACCATATACTGTACATTATCAAAATCATCCCCATTCCTCCCCATTAATAACTTTCTATACCACCACAACCATCGTTATCCTTACCATCATCATCGTGCTCATTATCATCTTACCTCTTCATTATCATCCTCATGTCCTCATTATCTTTCTAATGATCTTCATAATAATTCTCATCAGTGTTATACTCATCATCCCCTTTAACCTCATTATCTTGCTAATCATCCATCACCTCAAGTTCCTCATAATCTTTATTATCTTCCTCATCCTTCTCATTCTCATTCTTATGCTTATCCATACTTATCACCCTTTTCATGATTATTGTGATATTTATCATCATTATTATGTCAACATCATTATCATCTTTATCATCAGTGAAATTATTTTTCCTACCATTACCATCACCATCATAGAGCACTAGCAGTATAAGTGCACATAAGAAAGTGATCTCCTAGGACTGTAAATTTCAAAATTGAATGGTAGTAAATTGGATTGAATGAATCAACCATCTCTGCAGATTGCACAAATAACAAAATAAATATTTCACCTAATAAAATATAGAAATATATTGCCAGACAAAAACATTTCTATACACAGCCATGCTTTTATGATGTGTAGGTCTTAATACAAAAAAAAAATTTGTAATGATATAAGCGCAAGCTTGATTTGCATTCTTGTATGTCGCGAATGACGTTGCAACACCGAGCACGATAACAACTGATTCTTAATGATGTTATGTGTACATGAATCTTGACATGTAGTCCACTAATAAAGCACGCAGAGCTGATACAAATGCTCAAACTCGTTTAAACAGGTGTTGAAGACCTGGTAATTAGTGTCACTCAACCAAAAGTAGTACATCAACATTAAAAACTTTAAATTGTCAATTATTCCTTCATGTTTAGATCATACATTTTCCCAATAACATAAACGATTATTACTTCCTATGCATGCTTGTTTGTATGTTAAAAGATAATGATATGAGCATGAAAGACATAGCAATATTTATCAATAATATTGGACAATACTAATAAAAATAATAAAAATCATAACAAAAATAAACGATGAATTTTAATAAGTAATAATTATTTTTATTAATAAGTAATAATAATTTTAACGATATTAACATAAGAAATATTTTTCAAATTTTTCTACAATCATGCCTTCCATTAAGTTTCCCTGTAAAAACTCTCAGATTTGCCAATGCTTTTTTTCACATGTTGTGCAATTTGAAATTGTTTTAATAAAATATTATGGAGAAAATTTTGGACAAACCATCAAAAAAGATTTACTTTTGGTGACCACATCATTTGTATTACAAATTAAAGTTAGTGGATTGAATCCAAACCAGGTCTAGATAATACAGTATTTCATTACTATTATAATGCAAGTTAAATATCAATACAATTTGATGAAAATGTTTAAATTAATAAGACTGATATACTACCATTAGGTTAACAACTCACTGTAAAACCATTTACTTTCTTATGGGAAAAATCAATCCTATGGGATTTTTATTGACCAAGGGGAATCTGATAACGAAGCAAGATTGAAGCATAACCATATATGACAATCTATAAATGCAAGCTGATTTGGAATGGTGAAATATAGCCTTAGCTTAAATAAATTGGGTATTTACTGCATGGCTTAGCGATAGATTTTGAAGCAAGCAAAATTAATATGATATTACAGACCTACATTCCTAGAGTTTTACTCGTTTATAATCACAATTTCTATTCCATGCAACTACTACAATCTGTTTAACAAGGCATGTTAGATTCTCACTGTTTGGCCTGTATAAGGTACAACTATGAAACATAAGCTTGGCAAGATGAGTACTTTAAACAAGGTGAAGGATGAATATAGGGGTTTACACTAAATGATCACGCCATGTGTCTTAACTAACACCTTAAAATTATTCATCATCAAAATGAATTTCCTTTTTTTATATTTAAATGGAATTTATTGGGTGATAGCTAGAGAGACATATAATACTTAAAGAGTATTGTTAATAATAGTATTAATTAATATTTTTTAATCTGTTAAAAGCTATGCTCAGATCATGAGTTACGCTAGCAAAACGTTAATAAAGTGGTATGAACTTGTGAGCGGCATAGCGAATGCCAGTATTAACGCTCAATCACTGGAGTACGATAATCCACCAACAGACCCCCAATTATTGTACGCCACTGTGTTAAAACAGTCATGCATCAACGATTTTGAATGCGGCCAGGATTTGATGTAAACAGGAAATAATAATTCTATATTTTGCGCAAATACTTATGCCAGCATTACATTAATCGCCCAGTCTTGAGATCTTACTAGTTACACTATAGATTAGTACACCTCTGGCGTTAATTATGCCAGGCGTATCTCTAAGTTCTGAACATGGCCCAAGACTTGCACAAGCTGAGACAACTATATCTGTATATAGTTGTCTCAGACACACTGATATTAATTATGTTAAAAAAGTGTAAATAATGTCAACATTTTTTACAAAACAAATATAAATGGGGAAAAAAAATTAATACAGTTTTACTATTTAGGGGTGCAATCATACCAACTGCAGTGAATTCATGCATGTATACTTACAACAGACGCCAACAATGTGTTTTAACTCAAGGTTTCAAAATTATGAAAACACTTACAACCTATAGGCCTAAACAGCACACCAATGGTGTCTCCAAAAAGTTTTCGACAAGGGTTTAACAAGACCAGCATGTTCAAATGAACTGTTAATATCCCATGAAGAACTCTATAGTACCATGTTTATATGTATTAAAGATGATTATTACCATACATATATATTTTCTTAAGCTAATTAATACTGGATTGTTCTTAATGGCCATGGAAAGTTATTAATAAATGTAAAAAAATAAACAAGGGATAAATATATAACAGATTTAAATGTTTAACCATCTCAAAATAAAAGTATTAATAAGGGTTTAATAGATTTACTTACCTAAACTACATGTATATCAAGAACAATAGCTTCCCAGCAAACATAAAATGTTCTTATAACGTTTGCGAACATTGTGGTCAGGTATGTCACAAAATAACGTTCACACAACATTGCAAGAACGTTCAAACATTGACGTGAAATTAGGTTCTAAGTACGTACACATGGTTCTACAAAATGTTTTTATCACCAAACCGTAATGTTAATATGACGTAATGTAATATTGTTAGCTGTGTTATTTCTATTGCAATGTAATGCTAGCTGGTATGGGTTATACACTGCATAATATTAGCACAAACTTTCTAAGATTATGAAATGCAAAATTTGGATGCAGATTAAGGTTACAAACCTACACACGCTGCACGGTAAACGGCATTCAACACAAAAATAATTATCATTCACCCTTTCATAGGCTACCTCCTCACCACCTAAAAAAGGGCGTCTGTATGAGTAAAGATAAACAAAAACAAAACAAAAAAATGAAACTAAAACAAAAGAATGAAAAGAAAATGTCAAATTAAAATACTCCATGTACAGTCACAAATATTTAAACAACATTAATAATAATTATTAATAATGTTCTATTTATTTTTGTTAATTAAAAATGTTCACACATGCACAAATAACAGGCCTACTGCATAATACAGTGGTTTTCCTTTCATCCTCTTTTCGCAAAATGCAAACAAAAATTGAAGCAAAGGAATTAAAAGAAAACATAAAAATATATTAATAAGAAAACCATAATTCAAAAAACATCTACAGAAACTGAAAATGTCATGGTGGAGCAACCTTTTATACCCTCTCACAGGTCTTTCACTAAAATAAATATAATCTAATAATAATCTAACAATATGTGACCGGCTCTGGCAAAAAAAACCTGCCATTCATCACATTTCCTGATGTTGAAAAAGCACCCAAAATGGTAAAGAATCAGAATTTTGAATATTTTCAGATTTCTGCATTTTATAAAAGAAGATATATTGAAGAACATTTCTGCAAACTATCAATCACTAAATGTAATTGAAATGTATACTAAAATTATTTTAAAAATACAAATCTTAATAATAAAAAAAATTGATTTTGGAATCTTGGAAGCTGTTTCCTCAAAACTTAAATGGCTGATGTCTAATGAATTAAATATTCATACCTTTAATAAAAAGTAACAAATTTCCATAAAATAAACACCTTTTTGGAGGAGAATTCATGCAAGAATCTACAAATACCAAAACCTCAATTTTGAATTTTTCCCACAAAAGGCTGGTTTTTGCCAGAGCTGGACACATAATAATAATAATAATAACTTTATTGTTTCTCTTTTGTAACAGAGGCACAATCGCTAAAGAGAAGTGCAAAAATAATTCACAATGTAAGAGTAATAATAACATATGTACATTTGTCTTGCTATAGACATTTCTTACTTAACTAATACACTGTCTAATTAATACTTCATCAGTATTTTGAATTTTTTACTTAACTAATAACGAAAAGATATTACAACACGCATCCCAAAAAAATGAAATACACGCCACCGCGCTCGACACCGTTCACGCCAATTCCTGACAATGCGTGACCAATGCCGAAACTCGACGGTGCACATTCCATCTCCCGGAGAATGCATTACACTTTATCTGAATAAACTGAAAAGAAACATAAATGAAACTTAAGAAAAAAGAAAAGAAAAGGAAAAGAGAAGAAAAAAAAAAACAAAAAACGATAATATAATTTTTGTGTTCAGTATAAGCTCTCATTTTGTTCAGCACTATACTCCCTAAACATACTGACTGTAAAGTGTCCTTAAGTTAATAATGTTGATGCAATATACAAGATAAGGTACAATAAACATAATGCCAATTCCACTATTAACTGATAACGTTTGTAATATTTAAGAGGACTTGAACCCACTGAAATTTGCAAAATATCTGACTATTGTTGTTGTTGTTGTCGTTACCAAATTTTAAAAGCGTCTAGCGTCACCAGTTTTGAACATACGTGCGGAAAATTTTGTACACATAAACTAGAGGCTATTTCCAACAAACGTTCATGGCCCTTTTTTTAAAGTTTGACCCAGGGTGTCCCCTACACCTGGATTTCGCAGTCGGTTAAGGATGTGTTCTACAGAACCTAAAGTTTGAGTTCAAATCATGTCTTGACATTCAATTTTTAATTTTGTACAAATGAACATTTTAATTATTAAAAAATTTCTATCTTATTAGCTCTTCAAGATTTTTTTATGAACCAGCTCGCAAATAAAAATAATAATTTATAAAAAAAAAAAAATTAAACACCGAGTCACAATTTTAACTCACGACCTTCAATTCCTTACAACGCAGTGCCAACCGACTGCTCCATTTATACGACATGCCCTGTTAGTGTTGGTAATTAATGGCAATTATGAACCCTTGCCAAAAACCCAATATAATAATGTATACGCCACTGTGTACCGTTTTTAAGGATGGAGGATATTTCCTACATGATTTAAGCATGTTTTGATTAATGCAGTCGATCCATGCTTGTCTGAAGAGACAAAATATCTCTTCCGACAGCTCCTCTGGCACAAACCACTTGGCACACACTACTGCAATATTTATTCATCCACAAATCTAGAAATTACAGTGATTACTACAAGGATTGTGGATGAGAATGTTTAATTTTTGTCAACAATTTTTTGGTTTCATTAGGTAAAACACAAAAGTGGTTGCTGGTATTATTTTTTTTATATACATGTAATTTTGTTTGGCCTCTGATGTGCTTTACACTAATGAGGGCAGTTATCAATCATTACACAGTACATTTTATGTCAAAATTAACTTCTAAATCAACAAGAAAATATGCATTTCAGGAATTCTACTTCTAAGACATTACTATGGCAACCTGACATAAACATCTTGAAGCAGCATGTTGTGACTGGCCTATGTGGCATGCAAACACTTTGGGTCAGACAGACTTAATCCAGAAAAACATCTGACAAAAAACAATAGGCCTACAGAGTTTATAACACATTTTTTTCTTGTGTGGATTCACTTTTATTTTTTATAAGAACAGCAAAATTTTGCCCAGGCCCAGTGTCCTTATTTTTTGCCGATTTCAGGCTCAAAATGTTCTTATATTGTTCTTATTTTATACACTATTCAAACATAGAAAATAATTATTGTATAGAAGTATACTACTGCACTGCAATGTAGGTAAAAATAGCCCCGGTACTACTGTGCTGTAATACTGTGGGTACTCCGTAAGTCACACCTACATCTACACATAAAATAAGGTACAGATATAATTTTTATAATTGTTTTTTGACGAACAATTTCTACATGCTTTCAGGTACAGTATGTGGGTGAAAGCATGGCATAGCTCCATTGTGGGAGAGAAGTATTGATTGATAATGATCTTGATACAGATGTCATTCTAATTAAAGACCCCTCAAAAGTCAAAATTAGTCTTTAATTAATAAAATCCAAATTAAGCTATGACATTTTAAATACTCTTAATTTTACTCTTCTTACGCCTGTACATACCGTAATCAATGTTTGAACTGTGTTGCTCCATTTCTTTAAAAAATATAAATAGCTTTCTTAGTCTGTTTTTTACTATTTAGTAATAATTGATTAAGGCTTTAATCATTAATTTTATTAACTTACCTACTGATTTTAAATTTGCCTATGTATTATAACAAAATACAATGTTTTCTGTAATTTGTTTTAGATTAACCTTTTCATCATATTTTTAATTCAGTCATTATCAATTTTATTAATGCAACTTTTTGATATTTTATATACGGAGATGTGTATAAGAGACAGCTTATTAGCTCTTCAAGATTTTTTTATGAACCAGCTCGCAAATAAAAATAATAATTTATAAAAAAAAAAAAATTAAACACCGAGTCAAAATTTT